TTCCTTTTGTATCTTTTTAAATGTGTATCGAATTTTTTTTATTTTTTTAGTTAATATGGTGAATATGATGGAAATGATATATCTTGATAATATGTCTGGTTTATAAATATCTACTCATTTAATTGATCTACAATACAAACAGATTAACCTGTATTCTGTAGAAACATATTAAACATATTAATTTCTATTCAAATATAAAATATAATCATATCTACAAGTTTATATATGAATGTTTTACATGACGCACATAAAATATATATAGAGAAGAATAAAGAACATTACTGAACCAATAACAATGAAAAATTGTCAATGATTTGAATTCTTATAACTTTTCAAAAAAATATCACATAACGATCCATTTGATCTCAGAGCTATTATTAGTTCATTTTTTTCAAAGATAATTTCAACATTATGTAATGAGTAGGAAAGTGAAGATACTTTTTTCTTTAAAATTAGTAAAATTTTCTAAAACCATTAAAAATTTTCTTTTGTGACTAGATTCACAATTTTGAAAATTGAAATCTTCTTTACTTTCTGTTTCTTTACTTTTCGTTTTACTATTTTATTCAATCTTAAATATTAGAGTTAAACGACAAAAATTTAAAATCGAATAATGAAAGAGGAGATTCAAATCTTCATGACTAGGGTGGATCTAATTATGAATAAAATTTAAGAACAGTAAGAAAAGTTTGAATTTTTTGAATTTTAAAGAAAGAAAGCATCCTTACTTTCGCTACATGGAAACCATCTAAAAAAAAAAAACGAATTTAGGATTCTCAAGAGACTTTATATTTTAAAATGAATCGAATTATTCATTCATTAAATGGATTATTTTATGATAATTTTTAATTTTGTTACAAAATGAAAAAAAAATTAAATTATCAAAAACTTTTCATCGTTATTGATTCAGTTATTCTCTTCGCTTTATGTATGAAGTTTCTATACTGTGCGTTCGAATATTTCCGTGAGCTGCTGCGTGTCCTACTTTAGTTTATCTGAATTGATTAAAATTAGTAAATAAATAGCATCAGATTTTTTCAAAGAGAATGTCTATTTGTCTGTGATGTAAATAGACATTTTAAAAAATGTACACTCTTTTGGTATTTTTCTATTAAGATATTGAATTTCGAGAAAATTGTTGAGTCTGATACACTTTTAACAAGTAGTTCAATTATAGTTCAAGAGAAAAAATCAAATTTTCTATTTTCTTTCTATTATCTATGTTGTGTGCCTATATACATATAGGTATTCTTTGTTAATGCAGAATAGTTTCTTGTATCAATTATTTTTCTATATAATTTATGTTCATTTAAAGGAAACATTCGGATTTTAATCCGTTGGTACAATTTTTGATTGTTGTATGTATACTGTTGTTGTACCTGCCATAAAAATTTTTGATATTTAAAAAAATATATTAATTAAATAGGAATTATGAATGTTCCTAATGGGAATTATTAATTCTTTTTCTATTGTTTTTTTTATGATAAATCATAAAATTACCGTGTTTTTTAAATTTGTTCTGATATGATGAAAAATCATTAACTGTTTAACTAGCATGTAGATACATACATAAAGACTATGAAACTAAGAAATAAATGAATTATAGTATGTATTTACAAATAGTAGAATATTATAATTGATAATAAGTATATGAATCCCAATTTCCAAACTATTCCACTTCTGTGGAAACTTGAAATTTCAAATATGATTTGCGTATTTACAAAATTATAAAATTTATATACATGATGTTCTGTTTAAATATATATTGTTCCATTTAATAATGATAATAAGTATATATTATACAAAATAAATATATATTATATATATAT